GGTGGTCGATGAACTGATAGTAGATAGTAGTAGTGATAGTAAGTGATAGTACATGACACACTGAAAGATGTACTCTCGCAACTCTCTCACTCATTATATATTCTTTTTTGGAAGATCCATTGTACACATCTTTTACAGTTCTTCATTTCTCAAAAGAAAACAAGAAAATTCCCCACGAAACAGTCTGAGAATTTTTTTCGTGCATTGTTTCAAGTAGACTAAAATTACATCCATATAATGTCGGAGAGAAAATCGTATACTATATAGACCACTCCGCGAGCAAACCTTGAAAACGCACTACCCAATCTCTCGTTTTCTGCAGACACCATAGAATCTCAACAAGACAAATCATTTCAGCCCTTTTATCACGATATTACAACTGGCGCGCACAATAGTCCCATTTGCGGCTCATTGAAAGAAGAGGAAGATGCCAGAAGGGCATGTTTATTGAATTCAGACCCTCGACTGACGGGCCGTGACAACTGATATCCGATGTAATTCCGATTTTCAATATGCTTTGATATATGGCTGTGGTGTGTGAGAGTACACGCTCCCGTATTAGCATAATATTTTAGCTTGTCAAATATATCCGGATTGACACCCTCGTTGCAACGCACTGTATTAAATCAATGAGGAAACTGATTGACCATGAGGGTGCGTGGGAGCATGTATTTTGAAGAGAAGAAAACTGAGGAAATTCGCACTGGGTCTCAGATTAGTGTACAGGGTGATTTGATTTTCTTAAAAGGTTGGAGTCAAAAATAAATTGGGAATATTTAGCTTCCAAAAACTTAAATGTGATATAGGTTCTTTCACTTTTCATCAGAAAAAGGTATCTGTTACAGGGATTTAGGTAATTCAAAATGATCAGTTAGTTTCTAATGTACAAAATAATTCGTTTGATCATATTTTCAATATCAACTACTCCTATCACAGCTAAATACTGGATCTGTAATTCTATTCTATGCACCGCTGGGGTATGATAGAAAAAATATTGAAGACGATATGAATGCTTCGAAATTGCAAAGGTTTTGATGGCTACTCATCAAAAGTGATCACAAGACACAAAGATAGCTCTTAATTGAATGTGGCCAACAAAATCTTGATTCAAATACAAGCAATCAGAGCAGCTGTATAACATACATATATGGCTATGTTGTACACCGGTTTTTTTATTTTGTAGCACCAAGAAGACTTCCTTGCTGATACAATAAGGTGCAGAACGAATAACTTTTCATTATTAACAGCGATTGCTACAGCAGAGCAAATGATATGATCTACAGGTAAAAACACCTCACCAATATCTCTCATGTGAACCTACGATTTTGTAGGTTTTTGTCTGCAGGTGGCACAGTGGTACATTCTACTGAATCAACTGGTGATGGAGCTTATGACTAGATGAAATAAATTTTGTTCGTTCTGGATAGTCAAAAGGTTCACTCCGTCTGAAATTACCCACCGAAACTGGTCTATGATTGGTCGTCCCGACCATATATAGGAAGTTACTTCTGACGAATCTTCCAAATAAAAGACGTTGCACAGGTGCCTGATAGTTATACTTCAGCTTTCTGCGCGACATTAGCTAGGGTAGTTTTTTTTTTCATCGGGTATCTGCCACGCGTACCTACAAAATAGTAGGTTAACATGAGATACAAGAGTGAGGTGTTTTTACCTGTACTTGAGCATATCATATGCACATCTCCGGACCCAAAAAAAAATAAGTAGGTAAGTATGCCGGAAATTACCACTAATGACGTTTATCAAAAGAGTTCATCAATATTAACTTCTATAAAATATCTACTGAATACTTAGGAGCTGGTGATATTATGTGATATCTGTAGCGAGTAGAATAAGAATACCACTGTGTTTCGTTTATTGTCTATGACTACTGACTAGCGACTCAACTCGACTTCTCACAAACAGGAGACCATATATGCCTTCATTTTTTTGTCATATGTTATTTCAGCTGATCCAAGAAAAATAATCCTGATCCTACCTGATGGACTATCCTTTGTAGATATAAGGATTGGAAGTCTGGCCCTCTATATAGAAAGTTCCAGGACAGTCGAGCGTATTTGCATACCACAACATTTCAGGACATCTCGGAACAAACTGGAATGTTCTGTAATATGATAGAATGATCGTGAATGATCTGAAACGTTCGAATAAAATAAGAACCCATCATGGAAGATTTTTACTTCAAAAGCATTCTTTAAAGTTTAGCTCTCTGAAAACTTCTGGAATATTCAAGAGTGTTTCAGAGCTTCTCATAATATTCCATAACATTCCAGAAAATGTAGGGACATTCTGAAAATTGGTAGAATCTAGATTAAGGTAATAATATAGAATGTTCCTGAAAATCATGGAACTTCACATATCATTGTGGACGGTCAAGAGAGTAAAATATTCTGGCAGCTCTTTTTCGCTTATTCATGAATCGCATAAGACGCATGGTTCGAGTTAAACAGTAATCTCGCTTGTAGTTCGCTTCGACTTGATGAATATTTTTTCAAGGATTCATCTTCGCGACATTGTATAGTTTTCATCTGTGTAGGGACATTCTGAAATTTGGTAGAATCTAGATTTAGGTAATAATCTAGAATGTTCTTGAAAATCATGGAACTTCACATATCATTGTGGAAGGTCAAGGGAGTAAAATATTCTGGCAGCTCTTTTTTCCTTATTCATGAATCGCATAAGACGCATGGTTCGAGTTAAACAGTAATCTCGCTTGTAGTTCGCTTCGACTTGATGAATATTTTTTCAAGGATTCATCTTCGCGACATTGTATAGTTTTCATCTGTGTTAAAATGAATCATGGTTTAAAGACATTTCATACGAAAGCAGCATTCATCTACGGAGTCAATAGTGTATAAATTCTTAGAATTCCACAATGTCAAAAATCCCTTAATCAAACGCTGTCTCATCTAACCACCCCCCAACTTTCCTTCCCAAATGCCTATTGTCTCCCGCAAGACCGGACCCTCTTAATCCCATTTAACACTTTCCTATCGGTCCCAGGACGGTCCCATCTGCGTTGTCTTATTTATACGACCGCGACCGAAACCGCCCCGATGGAATTGTTTGGATAAGGGCTCGCCAACCCCCTTTCCGAAGTCCTGTTGGTCGGTTTCGGTTCGACGCCGAATTTATCAAAATTAAGATTGAGCACGAGATACTCGAGGAGAAATCTCGTTGAAGGGACTCGGGGGAATATTTTTCGAAGTGTTCGGATGAATGATTGTTTCACACACAATTTTCAACTTAATGACGGCGCAGATATTTTTTTTATTTTGATGTATACAATGCATATCTACATCAAAAGTTACAAAATGCGTTACTTTTCACAAGTGATTTATGAAAAGTTTATTCCGTCATCCATTACGAAAAGTTAAGGCCACTCTTGTATGGAACTCGTTACTAAATTCTACTTTGTGTACTTTCCCAAAAATCGCGCTTGTTACACGAAATACAACTTTTCCCAACTGGTCACATGAATAGATATTCTTGATTGAACATATCGTTGAAAAATATTCACCTATAAAATCTTTCCACAAAGGGATAATATGGCCCGAGTTTGCATGTCACTAAGAGTGTTTTCAAATGAAATTGTAATAATTTGTCCAAATTCATTTTACCCAAATCGAAACACATTTTCAAAACAAAATCGTTTCTGAAGGAGAAGACATCCGTCTCACAAGAACGCCATCTATGGGCTCAAGAGAAGACTAAATCCACGTGGGTATAGTAAAAATAATTAAGGCTTTCCATAGAGGTTCGTCTCAAAGCAAGGCTTCGACATCGACCGCCGAACAAGATATTTCTGTCTCTTTCACAGTTTTCTGCTTCATGAAATTATTGAGCTCATGTGGTTGCTCAAAAACTGTAATTACAGAAAGCTGTTTTCAACTTATATCATCAACCGTATAATGTAAGATTTTCACTAAACTAGGCAGTATTATTAACAATCGGAAACATATCGAAAATGCCTCGTTTTTTACACAATCTTCCAGATCGAAATAAGAGAATGCTAAATTATTTGGAACATAAGGAACTGAAAGCAATTATCTGAAATATGGGTAGCAGTTTGGTTAGAGTACTCGTGAGAGGTTGATTTCTTTATTCAATTTATGGAATCAACCACTATTTTTGGTTCAGGATCGATCACTACTCTGTAATGATGGGTATTCACTAAGTATAGTCTAATTAATGCTAGAAATCGCATGATGACAGTTAGGACCTCGTTAATTCTTACCTCGAACAATTGGTCGAAAAAACGCTTTTAAACTTTTCCACCATATCAAGAGATAAATAATACTGGCTTTGAAATTTATACTTTGAACATCTTGAAAAATGCAAAAATATATCATTCCCATTTTTGTAGCATGGAAAAATGTCCCAACTATCTACCTATCGACAGAGGATTATGAAGGTTTTTCCCAAAATACTTTTCATTGTGAGAAAAAGTCGGTTTGCTGAAGATTTCAATATTTTTTATGCCAAAATTCTGATGAGTAGAATAGAGTATGCCAAAATTTTGTATTCACACATAAATATATTGAAAAATACTTGCGAGTTTTCCACATAACCAATTAAAAAAAACGTGTTTGTTTCACTCTACATTGACAATTTCAGATTTGTCCAATACATTTGGCAGCTCTATACAATGAAACGAGTTTTGCGATTTTGAAAACGATTTATAGCAAAAATCTCACAAATGTCAATACATTTTTCGTGAATTTGGAAAAGTAGGTATCCACTAAATTAATGAAAAATTTAGGCACAACAATCCTCAGAGTGAACAATATAAAAACATATATTTTGACTTCTTCTAGTTCATGATGGAACTTGTAGAAATGCATTTCCACCAAAAATAAAAACAAACCTACGAACAACTTTCTCAAGTGAGTGTAAAGATGTATGAACTCAATAGTATACTGCTTCTTGACCCTGTATACACCCTCACATGCAGCGAATCTATTTCGTTGCCATGGCAACACAATACAATCAACTCGTACAATTCTATTTTACAATATTATTTCAACATTGTTTTCATTCATTCTCTCCATCTAGTAATGAGATTCAAAATATCTCTTGCCGAAAAACCATCCCATAGAGCTCCTGTGACATGTGTTGGTTGGAGCAGTACAGAAGAAGTTTATTCAGCTGGGTAAGTCAAACATTGTAGTTAGTACTAGGCCAAGTTGTCACTGTGTTTTGTGGTACTACTGATTAGTTTATTTCACATTTCTCGTTCATTCAAGAGATGTGTTGTGTATGCTAGATTTATATATTTCCTTCAAAATTTACAAGAGCATGAATTAATTCTACATGCGAAAAATACGATTCTTCAATGGAATTTGAAACACCTTTCTTGGAGAACTTTTTATAATAGGAAATTTGGGAAATGAGCTATTGAAGTACTCATGAAGCTATTATTACTGACACTGTACATGAGAAATACTGGATAGACTGCGTCCTCCAATTCTGTAAAAAAGTTATGGACCTCTAAAGTTCCAGAAATCGCAATATTTCAGCCTTCTTTTTCAACTATACAAACTATGGAAAAATACAAGTATTTATTCACCACATCACTTCCACATCTTATTTCACCTTCTTTGGAACTTTTCAGTTTGAAAATTAACAGTTTTCCTATAATATTCAGTTCAAATACATGTTCAATACAGAATCACTATATAGGGGGGGTCGGAATGTCATCATTTTCGATTGACATTTGTGGCTGCATATGGCGGGCACTGCCATATGATTGGTCGAATCCATTGTCCAGTTATACTAAATCGTCTTAAAAAATAAACAATATGAACAATAAGGGATTAATGTGAGCTCTGGCTGGAGTTTTCAATATTATTTATACGAAAAGGGATTTATTAGTTATCAAATTATTGAAAAAAAATTGATTTTACTTATCGAGTTTCCAGAACGAAACGGGATTTATTAGTTACCTATCAAAGTATCGAAAAGAAAATGATTTTATTTATCGAGTTTCCAGAACATGGTGAAGAAGGTAAATGTTCAAGATTCACACATACCATTGACAGAACACTGGCCGCATCATCGAATAATACTGTCGAATTGAATGGAAATACTTTTTGGCACAATTACATTACTGGAAAAGCAAAAGCAGCTTCTCATCAACTTGAAACTAGAAAGTTAAACAAGCCTTCAAAAATTTTAATGTGAAACCCAAATTATCCATTGGCTCAAATATATAAAAACGACGTTCCGGTTGATTGGAGACCCAAACTACACAAGCAACATTGTTAGAACTTGTCTGTTTTCTATAGACACTTTTACAGGAAGTATTCTGCTGATGAAGAGATAGCGACGGAAAAGACGATGGTACTATTTTTTATTTGAATACAGCCTTCCACATTTGATAAAATATATATTTTTATATGAATTGAAATGGATATATTTTTAGAAAAGAGTTTTGCAAAAGAAACGTTTTGGCTTTCTACTTCTCCTTCTTTATACAAAAAAAAAGTAGAACTGTTGGAGGACAGTGGGACGCACATGGTGCCTTTTACCCCGTGTGGTCACCTGGATCACTATAGATCCAGGTGACTGTAATAGGAACGGATCGATTGAAGCTAAGTCTATGGCGAAAAGCGCTTACTGCGCAACCTCTGCTGCAGACAGCCAGCGATGAAATTTAACCCAGGTTTGTGTTTAATAAACCCTACAGAAAACAAATAAAAAAGAACACAGCGTCAGATGCTACAAATGCAATACCCATATATAGCATATATACAGAAAGCTCAAAAACCACAGAAGGCTCAGGATGTGAAGTTTACTTCAGATCACTAAGCCTAAAGAATACGCGGGAATGGGAAAAAATACCAGCGTGGTTCAAACACAACTGGCCACAAAAGGAAAAACCAGGAAAGGAATTTCTGGTAAAAACATAACAATCTGCACTGATAGCAGACAAGCCCTATTAGCCTTGAAAGGACACCTTGTTACCTCAGAGCTAGTACTGGAGTGCCAGTACTAGCTCTGAGGCCAAAGCCTCGGTAGATAATAAAATTATCCAAAGAAGGCTCAGGATATTGAGTTTACTCCAGATCACTATCCTTAAGATTGAGTGGGAAATGGGAAAAATACAAGCGTGGTTCAAACAAGACTGGCTGATATCTCAATCGCCACAAAAGAAATAACCAAAAAAGGAATTTCTGGCAAAAACATAACAATCTGCACTGATAGTAGACAATCCCTATTAGCCTTGAACAGACAACGTGTTACCTCAGGGCTAGTACTAGAGTGTCACCAAGATTTAGCCAAAGCCTTGGTGGATAATAACACTATCCTGGGGTGGGTTGAAGAACACGACAGGAGTGAAGGTAATCGCATTGCCGACTTTTTAGCCAAGAAAGCAGCTGGACTAAGAATTTTAGGATCCAGTGACACCAACGGTCTGATGACTTCGACAATTGCAGAACTAGCCAAACGTCAAACCCATGCCCAATCCCTGAAAAGATGGGATGGAATAGAAGGATACAGTCTTGCAAGGCGACCCTGTGAAGCTGGTGCCAAAGAAATATCTGACGATGACGAGGAAAACATATGCTTAACAGTAGGATTTCTGATTTGCCAGTGTCAACTAAGGAAACACCTCCATATTATGGGGCTAGTGGACACACCTCTATGCAGAATATGTTAACATGAAGATGAAACTGTCAGGCATGTCTTATGTGAGTATCCGGAGTTATTGTCAATGAGAGAGTGTGTGTTCGGCGAGTCTTGGCCTACACCTGTCGATATAAAGAAGATGTCTCCTAGGGACTTGTTCACCTTTCTGGAAAGGCCAGGATGGACGATGACCTAGGAGGACAACTCCTTTTGAGAATGTACAATGGGTCAACTGTAGCCGAAGTGTTGTGCACCTACCCTCACCCTCCCTACTCTATAGGGACAGATGTGGGAATCTTCCAAAGAAAGGAAGAAAGCGATTGATTTCATAATAAACTCTTTACAAAGATGTGAAGATCATGCAAAGAAGTAATTCGTAGATATATATATACTAAAGCCCTCTTGAAACAATTTCTTTCATATAAACATTCAATTAGGTACATGGAAAAAAATCTCGAAACAACTACTTTTATATGTCATTGAATTATACAAAAAACACTTTTTCTATTCAGTTTGTTCTCCAGACATGGAATCAGATGTAATACACACGATTGCTACAGGTAAAGTTTGACTTACATCAAACACTGTCTTCCTCAATCCTGTGAATGATATATGATTCAATTCCATAACGAACGTTTGTAGTACAAACTGAATAAAAAATGTGTTCTTTGTATAACTCAATGTTCATATAAAAGTATTTGTGTGTCTGAAAGATTGCTATACAATAAGTTATATGAAAGATGTGAAACCAATGGCAAACATCCGATGTTTGTGTACAAAAGTTTCTTCTTTGCATGATCAACACATTTTTGTAAAAATTATTTTGAAATTAATTGCTTCTTCCTTCCTTTCTTTTGAAAGTTACCACAAAAAATAATATCTTCTAATACTGTCCCTCTTAGAATTTGAACAAGATTCCTGAGACTGGTAATTAATCAAATAAACGAATGACTGTCATTACTTACTGTCATCGATGTCATGAGTAGATTTAACACATTCGTGACATGAAGTCGTAATTTCATGAATGAATTGGGTACTTTATCTTCTAATGTTATCCAGATTGGTACTGAAACTCAGCCTTCGAGGATGACGGGGTTTCATGTAAGTGAAATTTATTTTCATATACTACCTGTATAGTTTGGTTTTCAATATTCAATATTATTATAAATTTAGTTGTTTTCTAAGGTTAGTTATTCGTGTAATTCAATATTTATATGGAAGTAGTTATTTTAAGAGGACTGTTTTCTACCAGTTTGTGTCGTAAGTGATCATTTGTATGTGTTGAATAGAAGGAAACTGATTGACTTTGTATATTTGACGTACATTTTTTGTTTTCCATATTTAAAGTCTTGTTAGTGAAGTCCTCTATCATGAATCGCTACAGTAACGCAGAGATGGCTGACATGCATTCCATTTATGGACTTGCTGATGGCAATTCATTGGAAGCTAGGCGGTTGTACAGTGAACGATTTCCTAATCGTAATGTGCCTATTAGAAAAACCTTCAAAAGTATACATCAACGACTACGTGAAACAGGAGCACTTAAGCGGAATGGAGGACCAGGAAGGCCAATGACAGTAAGAACTATAGAAGTAGAAGAGAATCTGCTGGCCATGATAGAAGAAGATCCAGGTACCTCTACTGAATAAATTGCACAGGACGATTTTGAACATTGATAGAAACTATTTGTTGTACCCATACCACATACAACGAGTTCAGGCACTTCTTCCTGCAGATTTTCTTCCACGTATTGCATTTTGTCAATGGCTTTTGCGCACTCAATTACTGATTCTTATTATTTTTACCTATGAAGCCAGTTTCTCAAGAAATGCCATAAGGAATTTCCACAATAATCATGTTTGGACTGAAGAAAATTCACATGAGGTGCTTGAAGGTCAACATCAGTTCTCGTTAAACGTTTGGGTGAGAATTGTAGGTGACTTCCTAATTGGATCGGTATTTCTGGAAGGAAAGGAAAGAAGACTTATCGGCGAGGTATACCACAACTTTTTGGAAGAAACGCAGTTTCTGAAGGATGTACCCTTGGTTACAAGAAATGCGATGTGGCTTATACACGATGGTGCACCAGCGCATTTTAGCATATTGGCTCGAGAGTTTTTAACAGTAACATACGGAGATCGCTAGATTGGTCGAGGTGGACCTCACTTATGGCCTTAAATCCCCTGGATTATTTTCTATGGGGCCACCTGAAGTCATTAGTTTATACCACTCCAGTGGAAAATGTGGAAGATTTGAGAAATCGGATAATTGCTGGGTGTAACGCAATCAGAAACGATCCTGGTGTTTTTGAAAGAATTCGGGAGACGATGAAGAGAAGATTGGATTCTTGCATCCAGGCGGGGTTAGTCATTTTCAACAGTATTTGTAGATAAGAAACATAACATGTAATTTTTGGTAATAAATTTTTGTTGTCGAAATTATTTTTCACTCCGTGTCTTCGAAACAAAGCGCCCTATCAGAAATTAGTAAAGGAAAAATATCCTTAGAATAGTCCAAGGAATAGTCCGCATGTTCAATAAACACCCTGAAAATTCATATTTACTAAAATGATATCAAACACTTCTTCGACAGTGTTCATAACAGCTTGATATATGCCAAAGGAAAACATTATTTTTTATTTTATTTCTTCCAAAATTTCTGAAAAAATTGTGTATATTTGCAGTATCAAATAAATAGTATTTGGAGTAAAAACTCAACAGGAAAAAGTGATATCCTTGTAATTCAGTGTTGAATGGGTTCTGGGAATGAAAGTTCGTTATACATTTTTGTTAAGAGCTTATTTTGAGTTCGATCACTCAAGGAGTACCCAATTATGGAAATTGTGGCAAAAATTTATGCAGTGCTGATAATTATTAAAAAAAATGTCACATTGCACTTATGTGCTGGCTATAATAAAACATTAAAAACTATTGATACACTCATTATAATTGAGAAAATAAACTGAGTGTGAAACTCTTATCAACGATGTGAATGTTCACCAAAGAAACTTTAGGAGCATTCATAAACCAAGCATAAACTCGCAAAGTAATTTTCAACTCCAAAATTTAAATTCAGTTCAGGAGTTACAGCAAAGATAATGTTGAAAAGTTGATGTATTCAACCTGTTTTCAATTATTACTCAATTCAAAGAGTGTTTCATTATGAGGATGTTGAGGAATTGTAATTTCATCTTCATCGGATGATAATATAAGTATTTTTTATTTATGGTGTTGAAATATGGTATTTTATAGGTAATTATGTTTCGAGAATAAAAAAAAATAGTTTCAAAAATGTATTATTTGCAACATTGAACTTCCTCAGCAAAATCTTTGCAAACAAAATTCCAGAGTGGGATAAATTCAAAACAATTCAATATATTTCAAGATGATCAACCCTTTCGGGCATATGTAATGACATTTTGTTCATGGTGCTCAAACTTGATAACGTAAAAACCGGCACTGATCACAAAAAAATCATGGAAGTCATTGAAAATCCTCACCGGCGAATAATTTACAAGGTTTTTCATTTGTCAATTTGATTTTTGCAGAATAGTTTTACGGCATATTTCGGCTCCAGGTTTCCTATAAAATCACTACCTACGTGGAATTTATGAAATGACTATTATAAGACAACACGTATAGCTGAGGCACCAGTCAATCTAATAATAACACTGATGGTCTTCAAACATGACTCAACCTCTGACGGAAGCACCAAACTCTTACAAACGTTCGAAATAAATGATCGCTTCAATCAAGCTGACCACTATTATGATCTTTATGCAGTCATTGTTCACTGTGGTTCGTCAAAGACGAAACGGACTGGTTGAAATTTCAGATAGTCATGTCACTAAATATTCTGGCGATATCTTGAATTTATTGGAGCCTCTGGAGACACCCTATATTTCGTTCTATGAAATAGAGGACATTGGTAGATCAAGATCTTCTGATGATGTGATGCTGCAGGTTTTTCCGGGTTTTCTTGCAGCTGAAAAAGCAAATGCGCCACTGGAATCAATCAAGTCTCCCCGGAGCGCTAATCAACTTTAGTTGTTGTATCGTAATTTCATAATTTGTAATACTTTCGTATCTATTACTGTATCAATATGAGTTAAATCAACGAATGTAAACTTTTGTTCATTTCACATGAAGTTTTCTTGAAAATAAAAATAAATGAAATTTCAATTCCCATTATCTCAAATCGCTTTCAAATAATGAAAAGTAAATTATTTAAAATCTTATGAGAATGATAAATTTATCAATGAAATCGTGTTTCGAATTTGTTTTGTCTGGTTGTCTGTCTCAGTCGGAATTCGAATTTGGAAAGCAATATATGCCATTCCAGTTGAAAACCATTGTTAGCGCCATCAGACTTCTGGTGAAAAAAAGACTTCTAATGATACCAAGATATATTAAAAATTCATACACTGACGTGACATTATTGACACCGATAACAATATAATTCTAGTCACAATTCCAATATAAAATTTGTTTGGCCTCCTTTTTCAATATACTGACAGAACATTTCACGAAAAACTGGCATACCCGTGCACAAAGAATGATGTTTGGTAATTTTTTTGCTTATTGATCAAACGAAGATCATTCACCTGTTAAATTATAACCTTTTCTGAGAAATCAAATGAAAAAATGACAGTTCTACGTTATTTCAGTCAGTTTTCATGTTAGTTCATTCAGTTTTCACTATCAGCTGACCATCACAATTTTGATGTTATGATTTCAGTATGTTCGGCTCTAGCTCAATCTCCATTGAATTGAGCTTTCATTCACAGAATAATTCACCAGAAAATGTGTAACATTGCTTTTTTCATTTTCCTTTTAGTAAATTATTCATGGAATGAAACAATTGAGTCATTTGATAATTTTCGAAAGAGGAAAATTTCGCAGAAAGAACTGAAAAATGGTTACTTAGAGTTATATTTAGGTGCTACAACAGAAATATGAAGTTATTTGCCAATTTTTTCATTTGTTGATGGTGCATACTTTCTGGTAGATTTTGAATTTGAGAATGGAGGAAAGAATATAGTTGATAATTTTGAATGACTCCGTAAGTAAAATATCGCTATCTATTTGGTTTTCATTTCTACAAAAATTCACTCATATTACTTTCAGCAATCCAAAAACTCGACACTAAGTGACCTTGAATGTTTGGCTGGCTTCTGACAAGAGAAAAATCTATAAACAATATCAAATCTATATATTAAATCAAATCAACCCAATCACTTTCTCAATCACAACATAATAGGAAATAGAACCGGATTGTCTCTCACTTCACCATAATTCATTCTTTGGCAATCTAAATCACTCTTTCAGGTAATACGTTATGAGGACAGGAAATCCAATTTCTTGAAGAACTGATTCATTCTCTCGCAGGTTTATTTGGTGGAGCATCCACAACCACTGAAAAGGGAGGCGGACAAGGAATTATCTCTTCAACTTCTGAACGTGGAAAGGATTCATAGTCATGGTTTTTGTGTCCTGCTCTTTTTCGTTGAATATTTTTTCTGGTTTGATACCCTTTTGTGGCGTTATCTGAAAAACAAAATCATAACAATGCACGTATACAATAAACCGATAAAAATGTTAAAAACATTGTTTGAGTTGAAGTTGAAAAGTTGAAAGAGTTTTTGAGTAATTCCCGATTTAGGATAAACGGAAAGATGTGATGGTTGTCTTGTTGTTATGCATGTTAATGACACATTTTTGTAAATTCCGTGTATCTTCTTGAAGTGATAACTTCTTATGAGAGGGTAAACCGCTTGAACAGTGCCTGTATGTCTGGCTTTCCTTCATCCTCACTCTAACACACAGCGTTAGCCTTATCTCTGACAGACGATTCTCTCGCCTCTCTTCACATGATTCAGTGTTCAGTGTGCAGTCGACATATACTCTTAACAGTGACCATTTAACGTAAAACTATCACCGCTTTTGAAAGTTATTATAAATAATTTGATGGTAGTAAAATATAAACATTATTATGAAAAGTCTCAAACTTATTATTAGTGAGGATGACCGTGTCGAAAAGAATGTTACATTTGAAACAATTGAAACATGACAATACATCAAAAGAGATTGACTCCTCACTGGATATAAAGAAGATTATTGAATTAAAAGTTACTAAAAATCGTTATTTGTTTTAAAATGTGGTTGAAGAACGAAGAGAGAGACAACAAACAATTAACGATGACAGCTGTCATGTGATTCAGTATGAAAAGTGTGTTTATTTGTCGATGATAAAACTATAGAACAACAAAGAACTGATATGGTGCAAGTGTGATCAGAAACATCTGCTGTTCTGAAAATCTATTGCGGCAGTTGTATCGCCAACAGCATATGCACCTGACACCTGTCGGATATAATCCAACGCCCTTCGTGGTATTAACCAGGAGAGTAGTTGTTTTCTGATATGTCAGTCCATAAACATACAGTGTAGGGAGTTGAGACTGACCTGAACGAATTTCCTTCAGATGATTTATTTTCAATATTAAATAGTCCAACTCGGATTAGTTATCATTTCTGTCGGGCTTCCCGATACGCACACGTTTTTTCATATTCAGTTTCTGGTTGCTGTGAATATTTAAATACACGTCTAATCCATGTATAGATTGAAGCGAAAGCAAATAGATCAATTATTCTTGATCCATTTTGTGGTAAAAAATCTCAAACAACCCTCCGAATTTTGTCCAATCAGTTTATTCCCTGTTATTGATAGTATATCCAACTGAATGAAGAAAAATCTTGAATAGAAATAGTAATCATAATTCTGAAATAGTCCTTCCTATGGAACAACTTAGCACTATCTGTATGAGTTATGGAAAAATCAAATGAATCAGGGAGATGGATTTTTAAGTTTATTAGTTCATTTTTCGAATTTGTCAAACAGAATGTAATAAATAACATGTCTCAGGCCTAAAACGAAGATAAAAAATTCTTTAACACAATCTATATGAAATGAAGTTCTGCAAGAAAGTATTTTAGGACCTCATACGTTCGAGTCATATAGTATTTTCGAATATTTTTCGACTACATGCTATTGACATATTCGATAGACTATGAAACAAAATTTTGTGTCGCTAATGTATTAGTTTCAGTCACCCAGAATTGTTTCATGAGGTTTCATTCTTCTCCGCGAGTCCTTTTTTTATTTCATTTCACGATGTATATGCTATATATTTCCAGTGAAATGACTGCTTCAAGGATAAAAATTTAATGCATTCCTTTGTATTTTATGATTTTTCTCAAATTATTTGTATTCAAAAATTTCACTATTTTCCTTTTATAAACTTATAAAACGTGGTAAAATTTTAATTAAAATAGGTTTTGATAGAATCCGTTGTTGACACTTTATTTTCCAATGAAACTGATCTTGATTTCAAGAAGATGAAGGTACCAATCAAATGATAAGAAAATATGAGTGTATCGTAGACTTTGCTCATTTCACCAAGTTCTCGTTCATATTATTATATACAATAAACAAACTACTATTTCGCCATTTCAGTAATCTTATTGACATTTCAACTCATATGTAATGCAAGAGCAGATTTTTGAAAACGACTTCATAAGATTGCTGATATAATTATAAAATATGCAATCGCTCATTGTCATTCATAAAGTGTCGCGGAGATTATACGTCTTCAGTTTTGACAATTCGCAGGGTAAAAGTATATTAAAAAAATAATAAATGAAAGAAAATATTTCTACATTTCATTTTCATGAAGGAGGTATTTTTATTCAAGTGTTATTTGAATATAAAATTTGTATAAGTGATGTTAGATCATCAAATTTCAAGACCAAAAGCTGTTTAGTTTTATGAAGTGTCATCAGTTGTAAAAAAAGCACAAAGTCATGTTTCACACAATAGGTGAGATGTTGCGTTTTTATATTGATCACTTTTTTGTAACACTTTCTATATTATTACCTACTCAAAAATCTTGTACTCTACTCACCTTCTTCACATTCACTAAGATTTAATATGAGTAATAATAAGCAGATAACGCTGAATAGCGTAGATTCCATCATAATATACAACTACGAGAAACTCACTCTCAATGCTAAATGATGAAACAAATCTAAAAACTTCGTCTTCGATTTGTTTTAAAATACTTTATTTTGGTTTATTCACATGTCAGTCGGCTGATCAATTCAATCTGTGGCGACTTTCTCCGACGTAAATCTGTGAAATTGAAATGACGACAAAATATGACGGGAACTTTGAATTATTGATAATTATTTTTCTGATGAAAAATGCAGAGCCGTAGCTGGTTTTTTCTCTTTAGCTAAAAGTTGCAAAACTATTTTATTTATTTGTACATTTATATTGAAAATCTGAATAATAAATTGAATTCTTTTTTTCGGAAATGTTTTTTGCCGCCGGCCAAGATTCGTCCTCTGAATTACATAATTTTGGTCCTAAATTGTCTGAAGAGTAACAAGTATTCATTTTACTTTAAGATATATCTTGTTTATATCGTTTCCGATATTCAAATTATAAATGTCAGATCTGACCCTCAACTTTCCGATATTTCTGAAACATGGAACGTTGCGTTAAACATTTTAGGACATCAAAAATATGTTTTTTTTTTCATTAGATTAATTTCGAAGTATTCACACATGTCTGTCTACTTCTGAGTCCTATCATATAAATTTCGCATCTGAAGGTGAATAGTCATCTCTCGGAGGAATTAGTCTAGTCATCACCCGAAGACGATTGTGGATAATAACAATCGAATCGTCGTGAAGTAACTTGGCTTGAAATCTTGTAATTTTTAACCCCTAAAATTTATTTCCAATGTAACTTTCCGTCGTATTATTTGTTTACCATTTAAAAATGTATTTCCGATAGCCTGTTTCATTCTAAATAAAAAAATGTCCCTTGGATTTTTTACCCAAAATGAACCAGTTCGCAGCAAAAAATTATTTTACGAACAGCTACAGAGATACATCGTCATAAATGCGAAAATACGAAACTTATCTATCTAGTAGGTCGCTATTAGCGATAGTTACAATAAATTGGTATGACGCTGTTAGTTTGTGAATTTTCGAAATTGAATTGATACTAATTGTGTGTTGTTGTTCTGTTCTTAATTTGTTACTTTAATAATTCACTTGTTATAAAAATGCCATACACAAATGAGAAAATAACTGATATGCATTACGTTTACGGTCTGTCGCAGGGGAATGGGTTAGAAGCTTCTAGAAGATATGCTGAAATGTATCCTCAACGGCAGCATCCTTCACATAGAATATTTGCTCGACTTCATCAACGATTACGAGAATATGGTTCATTCGACAAAAGAACGCAGGATTGTGGTCGCCATCGAGAAGTACGAACACCACAGCTTGAAGAAGCAGTAGTTAATTTGATTGAAGAACAACCTACTACCAGTACTAGAAAGATTGCTTTCCAGCTAAATGTTGATCATATGACGGTATTTCGAATTTTAAAGGAACAAGTCTTATATACCCTTACCATCTGCAACGAGTGCAGGCACTGTTACCGCGATAATTTCCGAACCGTCTTGAATTTTGCAATTGGATGCTGGAAATGATTAAAAGAAATTGTGACTTTCTGAAGACGATAGTCTGATGAAAATATCAAACTTGAACGAAACCAGTGGCGTACAATGATTATTACCATATCAATCAGGTAACATCTGTAATGCTACTGGAATTATTACCCACATTCTAATTTCATGAAAAGAAGCCTCTTATTACTGCTAACAACAAAATCAGGGAAAACTCTTTTAAGTTATCAACAACAGAACAATATTTTTAGTAAAACTGACACCCCCTCACTCGGAAACAAAGCAAGTTAGGATACGCGTTCATATGAACTCATAACGGGTCCACTCAGGAAGGTTTATAATTATTTGACACAAACACTTGTGTTAGATCTATAGAACAGTTACACGTAGAAAGAGCATATATGTGTATGAGAATATATATATACATCTTTAGAAAATTGTTTTTGCATACTCAAACTACACTGCTCAATAATTGAAGTTGATATTATCATGTGCAGATTTTGGGAGCATATTCACACATTTTTTGGTAGAGATGAGAGAACTGAAACATACAAAAAATATTGGCTATAAGTTACATATCAAATACGATTTTTCACAAAATATTTGTATACGCTGTTGAAGCGATTGTTCAAAAAATATTTGTATACGCTGTCTGTTCAATTTTTTGTCCCCTTCAAAGAAGTCCCTCTCAGTAGTAATACACTTTTTGGTATGTTTTTGAACTCTCACAGCAGCTATTCGGTTTTTATCTGCTTAATCTTTGCAGCACGCCGTCCTTTTATGGGTCTCTCCAATCTTGCGAACATAAAAGTCGCACGGAGGCAAATCTGGTGAATACACTGGCTGAGGCCAGTGTATTGTGATTTGTTTTTCCACATTGCTGAATATATTATTTTTATTACTTCTCGCAAGTGGCGCATAATTACAGGATAATACTGCTTATTTACTGTACGACTATGTGTCAAAAACTCATCATGCACTACGCCACGGTAATCTAAAGAAACAGGGAGCAAAACCTTGACATTTAATCAAACTTGGCGTGCTCTCTTGGTCTTGGCTCTTCTGGGCTCTTCCATTCGGACGATAGGAGTTTTGTTTCGAAGTAATAACCATATACCCATGATTAGTCACCAGTTATGAGCAAATCTAGGTCGCAGTTGATGTCATTCAACAATTCCTGAGCGATGCTAAAGGGACTTTTTTTATGAATTCTGCAACTTTGAAACGAACCTCGCTGCCACACGCTTCATTTCTAAAAAAATCACATGCCATGAGCCAACCGATGTGCCGACATCCTCAGCAACTTCTCTAATAGTGATTCGATAATTCTCCTTAACAATATTTTTTACTTTCTCAACATTTTCATCGATTGTTTTGTTCTTGTTGAAATAAATTGATTGATTGATTGATTGTCGATATGCTGGGGAGTCCATGGCGAGCGTTGTCATTCACATCTTCTCTACCTTCAGTGAAAAGCTTGTACCACTTGTGAGCATATTTCTGACTCAGAGTACAATAACCGTATGCCACTGTCAACATTTCAAGTGTTTTGAGCACTCAAAGTCGATTATATACACAAAATTTCATGCAAATTCTTTCATCCCTTTTTTAGATAGCAGAAAATCGCCGTATACCACTTCTAAATTTTATGTCTCTCACCAACAAACTAAATATGCTCAACAGCTGAAACTGTGAAAATATGTTCGAGACGAATATACCAACATAAAAAAATAAAAATCGCCAACCGAGTGTACGTAGCCCGCGAAATATAAGCAATCATTTATTTTTTGAACAGTCACGTATGTTAATTTCAGGAAAGTTAAATTATCCAGTTCAATTGTTCAGGAGTATATTCGAACAAAATAATTAATTTTTTCAAAACAATGCTGCAAACTACTATTTTGTTCCGTTAAAAGCACCCAATATCAAAATGTCTGCTTCCATAAACCTCTCTTCAGATATTTCATCAGTTCGGACTTCCATTGGCTAATAAAGGGTTTTTCAATAAGGGCGGGTATATGTTGAAATGGAATAAAACAAGCTGTGTGTGAGGTATTAACAGAATTATTTTTTTATTTGAAAGGCGCATGTATGCCATTTAGTGTGAAATATGACATCGTTCAAATGCCCGCCTCGGCTTCTTACGGTGGCACGGATCCGAGTGGTCCAATTTTCAATGACTCTTCCGCATAGATCCGGCTGAATTTGAGCGATGGCCTGTGTTATGTTCACCTTTAGGGCATCGGTCGATTGTGGTTCATTTGCATAGACTTGCGACTTCAAGAAACCCCACAGGAAAAAGTCTAGCGGGGTGAAATCGCATGACCTTGGTGGCCAATTCACATCACCCCTGCTAGTGATAACCTTACCCTCATATCGTTCATGCAAAATGTCAATCGTGGCGTTTGCTATGTGGCACGTAGCGTCGTCCTGCTGGAACCACATGTCGTCTAGGTCCATATGGTTCAATGTGGGCCATAAGAAATTAGTTATCATCGTTCTGTAGGGCTCGCTGTTGACGGTGACCGCCTCACTAACGTCGTTTTAAAAAAAGTACGGACCAATTACGCCGCCGGCCCAAAATCCACACCAAACGGTAACTTTTTGAGGATGCATTATCACCTGGTGAACCTCGCGCCTCGTTACTAAAGATGATTTTTCGGCCAAAATTAGGGTCCTCTTCCAAACGATTCGAAGCCCAGTCAGCGACCAAACGGCGTTGTCTATGGTCATGAACTTTCAGCTCCTGGGTCAGTTGGATCTTGTACGGGTGTAGGCCCAAGTCCCGACGCAAAATTCACCAAGTTGAAGTCTGCAAAAGGCCGAGTTCTTGTGCACGGCAAGGAATAGAATGCCTCAGGTTCTGCTGTACACTTTCACGGACCGCGGCGATGTTCTCGGCCGATCTTGCGTTCCTTGAACGTACGGGTGTTGGCTGATTGTTTACTGAACCGGTCATCTCAAATTTGGCCACCAAACGTTGAAGAGTCGACTGTGAAGGGCCACCACGTCTACCGTAAAATGGGCGCAATGCGCGCAACGTTTGCGTTAACGAACACTAATTTTGATAATAAAGTTTTATCATTTGAACGTGCTGTTCAATCGTGTAACTTTCCATGATGATTTGGCATAAACAACTGAATAATAAACAAAAGATTTGACAGATGTCACCAAAACAAAATGGTCGCCACAGGGCGCCAAAATCTACCCACGCCAATTGAAAAACCCTTTTAATATAAACTGATTTGAAATCCCTGAAAAAAAATAAAAGATTAACCGAAAATAACAATTTTATTATTAAAATTGTTATTTTTGGTTGATCTTTTATTATTTTTTTCAGGGATTTCAAATCAATTTATATTATGTCAGACAATGGAAGTCCGAACTGATGAAATACACCACGAAACATTGTCAACCGCCTTCAAACTCTCTTCAGATAATATTATAGATAATAGAATATTTTTCCTAGTGTCTGTAAGTTACATTTCTTGTCTTGTTATATTGATGACCTATATTTATTTAGTACAAATTCATATTGAATATAGGTAACAGAAAATAACTTTTCATTTCCATTTTTTACGACCGGTTTCGGTTTATTAAACCATTCTCAAGAAAACTCCTTAAGAATGGTTTAATAAACCGATATCAGTCATAACAATAAAAATCTTAGTAGAAATTAGACAAGAGTTAATTTCTTTATCCTATATTTAGATTTCTTGTCCATTGATTTTCTATGTGAAATAAGAGTATTTGGTGTGATGTATATATTGCTATCTTCTCAACTAGACTCATTTCCCTCAATAAATAGTTAATGAAACTAATGAATTTATGAAATCAACTGTTATCAATCCAACTATATACTTGAACCAGTTCAAAATATTATTTCAATAATGTGTAATTTGCACAAATATTTGCGCCTATAAATCCACCAAAGAAATACATATTTTCGGAATAGAATGTGTGTATTGAAATAATTTATCTTGAGGTACTCCTGTTGTTATTCTCTCGATGGTTTGTTCATACGAACACCAATCAGTAGTGATGACACTCTCGTATTTGGTTGGGAAATATTTTTTATCATATGTTCCAATGGTTGTTCTCCTTGATCTGGCTTTTCAGTTCCATCTACAAACCAATTCATGAATATTAATTAAAATAAACGAATTAATGAACCTTACAGAAAAAAATAGAGCGCCTTATGAAGATATTTATTCATCTTCACGAAACACATGCATATAGTCAACATATCAGAAACAGCTTAATTAATGGAAAAGAAAGTTTTTGGCTTTCTACTACTCCAATAAATCCCCGATTTATTAAAAATGCAGTTACAGATGTCAATAGAAGGACCATAATTTGTATTGAACGTGGAGGACGACGTACTGAAATGTAGGCTATAAGTGTTTGACAACATTATGTATACATGAATTGATGACAATTAACCGAACTTATTTTTTTAAATAAAGGGGATATCTGTCGAAAATAAGCAAAACTTTAACTTCATCCTAGTTGCATAAAATTTGGTATATGAATATAAAATTGCCGTAAACACAACTTTTTCAAGTAACTTTTTGTTAAGTTCAATCTAGAAATGCACTTTTTCAATTTTTTTCAAAAAAAAGTTGAATTTGACAAACACTGAACGTCAGTGGGTCGCTGTTGCCTGCATCATTTTGAGTTAAATTTAAAGCACAAACAAGTGCCGAAGTTAAACTTCATTGAAACTTTTCGAAAAAAAAGTTTCCCATATGGTGCACACTTTAATGGTGACACTGTATATGAAAGAATTTATGATAAATTTGTAAAATAAAAAACGTATATTGAAAGAATATATTTTAGACGAGTTTGAAATTAAAGATGCATGTGCTGTGATACGAGGTTATAAATTCGATGCCTGTCTTTGAAAGACATTTCAATATTCAATCATAGTTTATATGTTTGAATATAAGATTACGGAATCGGAGAATGTTTTTAGCAAATCAAATAAGTAATTAGACACTCCAAATGAGAGTTAATGAATATTATTTTTTCCGAAAAGTAAACTAGAAGCGAAAAACAGATGAAGCCGAGAATAAAAATCTAGAAAACAGATATAGTCCGCAACAGAATGAGGTATATTACACACTGATCTGATGAATAATTCTTTAAACTTACCTTTCTCATATAAAAAGACACCCGAAAAATATATGAGATATATCTGGCAAAAAAAGATAAATTTCATATTTGTCGTTTCTATAATTGATTGATACAACTGTTGCTGCGTTCTTGAATTTGCACAAAAATATTTTGTTTTCAATTATTTATATGATAACAGACTGATAAATATTCTTAGAATCCATTATAAAGCTACCGATGTGATGTTCAAAACATTCTTTTCCTAAACAGAGTTGGCACCAATAAGCTGGCCGATGTGTTTGAAAAAAAAAGATGTTTCAATCATTTTGTCGATTGGTAGTCGACGCATTTTTCGGTTGACTGGTATAATGAATACATCCAGAAGAAATTTCCATACACATAGGTCTGTAGGGCTGTATTATTCATTTAATTTTACTTCTGAATTTCAATTTTGTAGCTTGAAATACAAAACGAATCCCTAACACAAGCAAAAAAATAATTTATATTTATCATATACAAATTTTTTTTTTTTGAAACGGCATCTTTAAAAATCAATTTTTGAATAAAATCCATGTATTTAAATAATTGTCAAAATAACAAAATCATTTCCAAGTGAACACAAGTATATGAATTGGTTACAAAATCAAAATTTGATATAATCAATATACACCATATTCTATGATACCATTTTTTATGTTCGTACCATTTTTCATTTTTCACTTCAAAAATTATATGTTCATTAAGTGTTCATTGAGTGCATCTAGCAACTCTGAACTTTCTAGATGTTTTCGAGTTAATACGCGACATCTGATATGTACGATGAAGTTCCGCAATTGTAGGATGCTGATGACGGTTCTGAACCTCCCTCCACCACTATTCCTTCAGTGCCACCACACTGACTTTGATACCACACTGACATTTTCCACTTATAACTTGGTCTTGAGTTGCGTGTGACGTCACATGACTTCGAGTTAAGTCATGACCCTGAACCCCCTCCGTGTAACCCTTCGTCTATGATTTTCCGCAACGATTCAATCAGCTTGAGTCGCGTTACATGACTTCGTAAATTACAACCGATACTGGACCTTCCTCTACTACATTTGATATTTAATTTTTATATGCAATTTTAGCCTGAGCGTCTCAGTAATTTGAAACTCATTTCTTTGAACGCTCACCGGCCACTGCTATACATTCGAATGCCTCACACTAGTTGCACACACACCGATTTTGGACGGCCAGTATAAAATGGGCTGATATTTTATTGGTAGCGGGTGCTTGTACACTCACAGGATTTTTATCGGTCAAACAATCAGTTGCTCTGTTGTCATAATTAGCATGCACTACCAAAACGAAGTTAATGCGTAGTAACTACAATTTTACCGAGCATTCGAGACTGGAATGGTCGTTAAAAAACCGGTGAGTATGCAAGAGTGTATTTAGTCATGTACGCCACTTCTTCCCGGTACTGCCGGCGATACAGTGGCAGTGGACGGCTGCTCACCGGTATTTTACCGGCGACGATCACCGGTCGGCATGTGTGCAAGGTCCCGTTCCCACATGTGGTTCACTATTAGAATTTGGATGACCAGTACAGTAGAATTATATCTTGTATTAGAGCTGTTCACTATGCCCTCATTATATTTTAATGGTTTTCATCCAAAGATATTCTAAAATATAATCTTAAAAACTTCCAGAAAAAGTGTTATTGTTGTAACCTCGACAATTGGGTCTGAAAGTTGCCTTGAGAAGAGATTGCATTCACAGAATAACCTATAAAAAATATAGCTTCAGCTGCATTTATATACACAAGTGATGAATAACCGCTATCGATAACCTCTCACAACGAAAGATGAGTTTGGAATATCTCAACACTGTATCGAGTACAGTACTAACGGTACACACTTTGTTGTTAGAGCACAAAAAATGACTTCCTTTATCTGCAAGTACGTCCTCTCACTGCAGGGTTCTCGTTCGTACTCACCGTGCGCTCACCGATCCATCCGGGTGTAAAATGCCAGGGGTCATTGACCTTCTGGCAAGGTGATCAAATCGATGCGGCTTTTGAAGATAAATCTAGGTGGAGAGTTGAAAGGGTGTTTGATGGTCACGACGAAACTCGGGATCATGTGACGTCACATGCAACTCAAGGTCAAGTCAAAGGCGAAAAGTGACTTTGGGGTAATAGTGGTTGGGGGAAGTTCAGAACCGTCATTAGTACAGTACTCGCAATTCATTACTGAACTCATTAATATAAAAAGATGTGCTTGCAACGATATTACTCCAGGAACGTTTTATGATGTTGAGAAAAAATTGTAAACAAAGTCCATTGCTATCAAGAAGTGAATGATGAACATTTTGAATATTCATTGGAATGAACTCAAGTGAGAATTGAATAATGATTTTCTTGAATTTATGTTTATAGTTTGTTCGCAGGTTCTTGAAACGAATATAAAACTGTTAATCCCTCGAAAACGGTTAACTCGATTTACAAGAGTGAAAAAGTATTGGATAGAGAATTTAAATATCTGTCAAACTAGTTATCATCAGACCCACCTTTCCATTTGAAATAAAACCGTAGCACTCTCTCTCTTACGAGTGATATAACACCATTATCTTTCTCATCAAAAAGTACTGAAAATGATACCTTTTTACATGAATTTTTTGAAACCTTGATATTTTGTTCTGGTCAAAACTCAAATTGGGTGGTACTATTTACGTCCGCACGGTATAATTGAAGGAGTACATAACTTGCCTGGTGTAAGGTGAGTTGTGTTTTTGAAAATGTTTTGGACTCAAAATTAAGATATCATAAAAATAAAATGAAGATTCTGAATATATTTCCAAAATTTCATATTTATATTGTGTTGGATATATCAAACTATCAAATTATCATGGCTCCTTTTGAAACTTATTAAATTGTTGATAAGTTTTTTATTATTTCAGAGATGACAGTCAACTACTCTCCTGGTCAGTTTCAACTAACCAATCAACGAAGATCACGCAATTCAATGCTGAACTCTGTCCTACTGACATGCAATTTTTGCCAAGGGTTAGTGGAACATTAGGCAAGCATGGCGACCTAATTTTAATCACATCCGTTGATGGAAAATTCCACATCATGAACAGAGCAGGAAAAATTGAACGTTCGGTAGAAGCCCATAAAGGGGCTATTTTAGTTGGGCAGTGGGGCAATGACGGGACAGGATTACTTACAGGTATTATAATAATGAACTCCTGATATTGCTGTAAGCTGTAGAAAATAACAGGTATCAAATGATATAAAATTTATTGACGTAAGTAAGGCAACTAACTTTTTCATTTCGTCCATCATTTCGTCCGTTTTTGTAACGTCTTGTTTCATCTGGAATGTGGATTGGAAAGGTCATGGGGATACTGGTCTGTGTGGGGAGGTTTTTGTTATGCCTTGGAGATTGAATGCCTTCCACATTTTTTCACTAAGACGTCTCCATGATGAACCGAATACTCGAATGTTACGGATTAAGATGTTCTGAGAAGATCCCGTTTGTAACCTTCAAAAATCTGTGTTTTCTACACGTGATTGTAGAAGCGTGACAAGGTCCTAGGCAAACTATAGGGAAATTGTACTAAAGATGTCACACTTCTTCACAGGGGGCTAAATCTGGTAAATACGGTGGCTGAGATATGATGACGGTGTTGTTTTTGGCCAGAAAATCACGAACAAGCAATGACGAGTGAGCAGGTGCATTATCTTGATGCAAAAGCCATGAATTGTTTTTCCACAATACCGGACGTTTTCTTCATATCGTTTCATAACCGGCGCATAACTTCAATATAATACTCCTTTTTGACTGTACGACCATGTGGCAAGAACTCCTGATGCATTAGGACACGGTAATGGAAGAGAACAGTGAGTAAAATTTCGACATTTGATCGAGCTTGGCATTCTTTTTCTGGTCTTGGCTCTTCTGGGCTCTCCTTGGGATGATTGGACTTTGATTTCGATGACATGACTATATACCAATAATTCGACACCAGTTATGACCTTTTTAAGCAAATCTGGATCGCAGTGGACGTTCCATGCATGAAATTTTCGAAAAAATTGCATGGCATGACCTAACCGATATTCCGACATGCTCATCAACTTCTCTAACAGTGATTCGACGATTTTCCATAATAATTTTCTTCACTTTCTCAACATTTTCATCGGTTGTTGATGTGCTGAGGCGTCCAGGGTGAGCGTTGTCATTTACATCTTCTCAACCTCCTGTGGAAGGCTTGTACCACTTGCTTGTTAAAATGTTTCTAAGTTACAGTACAATCACTGTATGTCACTGCCAACATTTGAAGTATTTTTGAGCACCTAATGTCATTTTCCACATAGAATTTGATGCCAAGTCTTTGATCCATTTTTATTTCGACAGCAGAGCACTTCTCACTTTGATGCCTCTCAAAACAAACTGCATATGCTGAATTTAATCCAGTCAAATTAGACCAAAAAATAATAGTAAAGCTACCTTAATGCCCACCAAGCTGAAAATCAGGGAGATTGTTCAAAATGTGATTAAAAATGAAATTCGAAAGTTTCCCATCTTTCTCCTTTATGGAAAAAATTTTATTCAAGTTCAAAGGTAAAAAAAATTAGTTTTACGCGATTTTCAGCAAAACGGTGAACCATCAAGATGAATAAACCTATGAAAAAGCCAGCTACTCGTGCTGGCGAAACGTTAGGATACAGTTCCAAACCACGACGGCCTTCAAACCCGAATGAAGATTGTAACAATAATCCCGAAATACGTCAAATGTAAATCAAAATTCTACATTCTTCAACGTAATAATGCCACCCCTACCTCCAACCCCCTTCGAAAGACAGGTACCACCCCCCAATTTTTTAAATAAGAAGTATAGGTTTGTAATATATTGTTTGAAAGATATCTTCTTTCTCCATTCAAAAATGTTATCGCCTTCAAGTTTATTGCAACAATCGAGATGAAATAAATTAAAATCATATGGTTACCTAAATTCGATAAAATACACCCAAAAACTAAAATGTCATGCAAAACGTAATGAAATGTAGAATACGAAAAAATACTATGGATGTTAATGAAATAGGTGTTCAAAATGTTCACCGCGAACGTCTAGGCAATATCCTACTCTCAAATAAAACTGTCTACTAACATTATTTAACATATCAGGCGTGACCGACCTAATCGTAAGCTTTATTTGTTCTTTTGAATCATTCAAATCTGAAGGTTTAGTTTTGTACACATTGCTCTTCACATATCTCCATAAAAATAAATGTAATGATGAAAGATCAGGTGATCGCGCTGGCCATTCAATCGATCCGCGCCTCCCTATCCACCGATTGGGAAATGTTATATCGAGGTATTGCCGGACATTAACTTGGTAATGTGGTGGTGCTCCATCCTGCTGAAACCATATCGTATTCACCGAAACTTCAGGGTTTCCTAAATCAGGATATAAATTTGCTTAACTTGGAATGATATCATTTTGAAGTACTACCAAATTATTATCGCCATTCAAGTTACCCTGAATGAAAAAGGGACCAATAATATGGTTTCCTATAATCCTTAACCAAACATTAACCTTTTGCGGGTATGCGTGTGTTCTTCTCACATCACGTGAAGATTTTCCGTTGACTAGTAGCGGCAATTTTGCAATAAGTTTTGAGTGTATTTTATCGAATTTCGTTAACCGCATGATTATAATTTATTTTATCTTAATTGTTGCAATAAATTTGAAAGCGATAACATTTTTGAATGGAGAATGAAGAGACCTTTCAAACGATATATCACAAGCCTATACTTCCCATATAAAAAATTGGGAGTTGTACCTGTCATTCGACGGGGGTTGAAGATTGAGGAAGTATTTTTCCGTTGAAATATGTCAAATTATAATTTGAATTTGACGTGTTTTCGAATTTTGTTGAAATATGTACCGTAACCGAAATAATGAATTTATTCCATTTGACTTTTAATAATAATAATAATACGTTTATTATATACCAAAAATTCACAACCAATATTAAGTTTCAATAAAAATAAAAAAACTAGGTAACTAAAATGTTCAGTTTTCTCTCAACACCAGGAAAAGAGAAACTGGTCTTCCACTCAGACCCTTACTACAAACTAAACTAACTACCTACTGACTAGTACCAGTAAACAAGAAGAAGAAGACTAGAGGAAAGCAAGAGAAAAAAAAAGATGATAGAGAGAGAAAAGATAGGAAAGATAGGAACTCTTTTTATAATTTATTCTCACTTGTGCGGGCAGTGATTCCTTTAGGTCATGAAACCGCCAGGTTGCATGACGACGCTGTGAGAATTTTAGTTTTTTGCTCTGAGTTAGGAGATATTTTCAATTATATTTCATTTTTGTAGTTCACGCAAACATACAGTCATGGCTTTTTCCATCTTATACGTATTCATGTAACTAGCAATATTATATTAAAAACTACGTTTGAAAATTTCCTTTCTATGTCGAGGAATAGTGATAAAAAAAGTTTGTCGAGTATTTCTATCATGTATGTCTTTTCTATATATGACTTTATCATGGAGATAGTTGGGTTGTTTGTATTTCAAAAGCTGGTAGAAGTAGCAGAGAATATGTAATTTAAGCCGGTTGGACATATTGAGCCATTCAATTTCTTTAATTTTATGGGAAATCCTCTGCCTGCTTTTTATGCCAAAAATAAGTCTCAAACAGCTGTTCTGGATTTTCTGGATACGCTGACTATCCATACCATCTAAACATGACCCATATACAATATCACAATAGTTGAATTGGAAAAGTACTAATGAATCACACAGCATTTTTCTTACATCTTGGCTTAAATAATGTCTATGTGGGTAAATCATCTTCAAGCTAGTGTAACTTCTTTTCAACATAATATTAACCTGTTCTTTGAATCTCAATTTTTGATCTAGTATCAAACCCAAGTTCTTTGCACTCTCACTAAAAAGTATTGTGTCATTTCCCATCCTCAGTATAATATTATGAGATATATCATTCCTGACATTGTCATTGCAGAACAAAATAGCACATGACTTTTGAGGATTTATTTTGAGTAGATGTTTATCACATATGTCTTTTAAAGATTGTAAGTCAATATTTATTTCTCTGTTAGTTTGCTTGACATTATCTGGTTCGAAGGTTGTATATATCTGTGTGTCATCAGCGTACATGTGGTAGTTACAGTGCTGCAAAGCCTCATGAAATGTTGCAGTAAATAAGGTGAACAGAAGTGGACCCAAAATACTACCCTGAGGAACACCACATGATACATGAGCAAAATTAGAAGTTTTATTATTCAGAGTAACACGTTGAAGTCTATTTGATAAATATGAAGTAATAAGTTTGCAAGCATTTTGGCTAAACTTTAAGTAGTGAAGTTTAGATAGGAGAATTCTGTGGTTCATCAAATCAAATGCTTTCGAAAAGTCAAGTAGGATGAGTACAGTTGCTTTATTTTCATCAATACCTTTGATAATGTCATCCGTTATATTTGCAAGTGCACTCACACAACTGTAACCAGGTCTGAACCCCGACTGCTTTCGAGGTAGAATTTTAGACTGTTCAACAAAGATTCTTATTTGTATTTCCATAACTTTTTCTAGAACTTTGGACAGAGTAGGAAGAATACAGATTGATCTGAGGTGATTGAAGTCATTTGGTTGGTTCATCTTCGGTAAGGCAACTATGTTGGTCATTTTCCAGGCAGAGGGAAAAATAAGACTTAAAAATACATTCATTTATTATATGTGTTATATATGGTATTATATTAGGGCAGCAAAAGTGTAAAAATGTGATATTGACACTATCAGTACCAAAAGTTTTACAGCTGATATTTTAAATCACATTCGAAACCGTTGTTTCGCTAATATATTCGAACGAAAAGTAGCCATTGATGCCATTATTTAAGTTTTCAGAATAGAAATCAATTAAATTTTCATTGGGTTTCAACATGTTTTTCGAAATATTCGTAAAATGATTATTCAGTTGGTTAACGTCGCTGAGATGCTTTGGTATTTCCCTATTTTTATTTTTGCAGATTTTTAGTTTCTTAAGTTCATTCCATTTTTCCTTTGACGAACAATTTTTAAATTTAAATTTCAAAAATGCTTTTTTTTCAGATTTTATTGCGCGAGTAATATAATTCCTCAATTGTTTGTAGTAGTCCCAGTGATGGGTTTGTTTAGTGCATTTGAATTTTTTTA